TTGAGAGACAAGAGAAGCAAAGACCCCAGACTCTAGAAACTTTTCTAATTTTTGGATTACACTTTGAAAAAGAAACTAACTCCCAGAAGGACACTACTAACATACTAATTGCCTGGTTAACAGAGATGGAAGAAGACTTTCTCAGGCTCAATCACCATTTTTGTTCATGAAGAGGGCTGAAGTTAATCCCACTCTGGCTTGATGTTGATGGATGCAACGGTTATTCTGTGGAATGTGTTGGGGGTATCTTGTTTACTCCTTGTCTATTCTTGGATTTTACAGTTCTGTTTTCACAGCTGCGGATAATAATTTAAAAAAGATGCTGAACTGCAGGCTGTGGAAGGTTGGTAGTTCAGCAGTTCGAGACCCGAGTGTGCCGCATGACGGAGTGAGCTCCCGTCTCTAGTTCCAGCTCCTGCCAACCTCGCAGTTCGAAAGCAAGAAATTGCAAGTAGATAAATAGGTATCACTTCAGTGGGAAGGTAACAGCGTTCCGTGCGCCTTGGTGTTTAGTTATGCCGGCCACATGACCACGGAAATGTCTTCGGACAGCGCTGGCTTTGAAACGGAGATGAGCACCGCAACCCTAGAGTCAGATTCGACTGGCTTTCGAGCAAGGGAACCTTTACCACATTGCCTCACCCAGGCTCTTTGCACCCATGCAGATTTTTCATTGAGCTATCCACTATGACCCCAGGATATTTTCCCTCTTAGTATCGGAAAGTTCAGACCTCATTAAACTATACTTGAAGTTGGGGGAGGGGTTTTAATCCAATGTGCATTATTTTACAATTACCAAGACTGAACTTCCACATTGTTGCCCACTCACCCAATTTGTGGAGATCCTCGTGGAGCTCTTCACAGTCAGCCTTGGTTTTCACTATCCTGAATAATTTTTGTCATCTGCAAACTTGGCCACTACACTACTCACCTCTGGTTCCAGATCATTTGTGAATAAATTAAATAGTACCGGCCTCAATACCAATCCTTGTGGGACCCCACTGCTTACTTCCCTCCATTATGAGAACTGCCCATTGATTCCTACTCTTTGCTTCCTGTCATTTAACCCATTTTAATCCATAAGAGAAATCGTTCTCTTATCCCATGACTGCCAAATTTACTCAGGAGTCTTTGTTGAGGTACCTTGCCACAAGCCTTTTGAAAGTCCAAGTATATAATGTCTACTGGGTCACCATTGTCTACATGCTTGTTCACTCCCTCAAAGAACTCCAAAAGGTTGGTAACGCATGACTATCCCTCAGCAGGCTTTGTTAATTTATGTTGCTAATAATTCTATCTTTGATTACAGTTTCTACCAATTTGCCTGGGACAGACGTTAGGCTCACTGGCCTGTAATTTCCTTGTTCCTCTCTGGATCCATTTTTAAAAACTGGTCTTACATTTGCTACTTCCCAGTCTTCTGGTACAGCAACTGAATTTAATGCTAGGTTACAGATATGGGTTAGTAGATCAACTATCTCACATTTGAGTTCCCTAAGAACTCTCAGGTGGATGCCATCAGCACCGGGAGACTTATTGGTTTTTAATTCCCCCCAATAAGTCTAGAACTTCAACTCTAGTTACCTCAATTTGGCTCCATTCTTCAGACTCCCTTCCTGAAAATAGTGGCTGTGCCATGGGTACATGCCCCACACTTCCCACAGTGAACGCAGAAGCAAAGAATTAATTGAGCTTCTCTGCCATCTCCCCATCTTCCGTTATCAGTCCTTTATTCCTTTATCATTCAAAGGCCCAACTTCTTATTGACACGACTAGTTTAATATGGAGCCTGTATTCACCAAGCTTTAGTTTCATGTCACCATTGAGTTATCAATTCGATTCAGCTATATGAAATCTGTGATGCCAAAGTAAAGTGATACCAATGCTTCCTCTGGAATTTTTTGTTTCAATATGTATGAAAAAAATAGTATCTAGGAGCAGCAACAGTACAGTTGCCAGCATTATGAAAGATGTGCTAAAAAGGACAAAATATGTGAACAAGGGGGACATTCATGAAATGTGTTTATTTATACCCCGCATTGTTCCCCAGTGAGGACCCAAACCATCTCATAACATCAGTCTTTCCTCTTCCATTTTATCCTCACAACAACCCTGTGAAGTTAGGCTGAGGGATGGTGATTGGGCCAAGGTCATCCAGGAAGCTTCCATGGCAGACCTGGAATTCAGACCTGGGTCTCCCAGATCCTAGTGTAACCATTACACTTCACACACACGCGCATGCACACACACACACACACACACACACACACAGAGGCTTAGAACCAGAAAAGTTTTCCTACAGAATTCTCTCTTACTCCTAATTTCGACTCACTGCTAATGATCAGGCTAGGCTGTACAGCATTCCTACTGTCCAATCCTACACATGCTTTCCAGAAGAAAGCCCCAGTGACTTTGATTGCACTTATTCCTAAGAAAGCGTGAACAGGATTGCAGCCTTATGGCAAACTACACATTCTCTATAGTTCCACAGTTAAATACCTCCTCTCTTACCAACCTCCCTCTTTACATCAAAGTCCATACAACTGTATTTTTAAAAAAAGAAATCAGGAAAAATATACAAGGAGATACCATGTAATGTGCAGCTCTGCCCTCAGGGGACAATGCATACCACACAATGCAATCACATGAATTGGTTAAAATTGAGACCCGTCACAATGAATGATGACAGTTGTGAGCAACATGATAAAGCATGGTCCTATACATTTGTCGTAAAAGAGAACATCATGGCATCCACAAAAATGTTGCAAGGCTTGCTTCATGTAGAAAACGTATTTTGAGTAGAAAATAGAATTGTCCCCAAAGGCTCAAATTGTTTTGTTTGTTTCTTTGAGAACAAAACAGAGCAGTAAAACTGTCACAGTGTAAGTTCCATCTAGAGACACCAAGAAGAAACATTTGTATACCTACCAGCCCTGTTCTCTGTAGGTGACGTCTTATCCTGGTGTTGCTGAAATAACTTGATAGGTGCTTGTCTGTTAGGCTGTTGTAGTTTGCAAGGAATCTGAAACCAATGAAGTCCCAATAAAAACAGAGTAAGAATTCAAAATATTTTCTTGGGGGGGAGGGAGAAATCAAGAGTTGCCAAAGCACAAATACCTAAACTACAATATTAAGAAGAGTGCATTTTGGCTTGACACAGCAATTGTGTTTGTTGTGGGTATGCTGTGTTTCCCATCCATCCAGCTTCTCCATGGCATTTCCATTTGCAGAAATGGGGCAGCAATTTCCACCAGTTCCTCCCCCGAGTGTATACACCCACGTTATCCACTATGCTGGTCCTGAGGCTCTGTTGCAACATTTGGGGACCAGGTGAATGCAGCAGCAGGAAGAAACAGGAAAATACCGTTCTGGAACACTGGCTGATGGTTCAATAAAATGGGGACAATATATGTATAAAACATATGTGCAGACATCCAAGGAAGCCACGGACTCATCATAAGAGCTCCCAGATGTGGGTACACAGGTGTTTAAAGACGTATGTAAGTTGTTGACACCATATACCCCTTTGAGACTTTCTAGTCAAGCAGAATTATTGCACATTGGGAGAAAATGGGATAATAGCCACAAGTTCCACTCCCACCCCACCCCTCAATCATTGTGGGTACACTGGAACAAACATATAGAAGCTACATGCATACATGGATAGGGCACATGATAAGGATGCCTGAAAAGCAAAATGTATGTCAGGACAGAGCTTGCTGCTGCTATTTATTTATTTCGTTTGAATGATTTAAATGCTGCCTCTCCATAGAGCCCACTCAAGAAGGCTTACAAAGTAAAACATAGTAGAAACATAAACACCATAAAATTGGAACAATTAATAAACTATTAAGAATCAAAAGCATACAAACACTCTATTAAATATAGCATTTTAAAATGAGTTATAAAATACTTCTCAGGCCAGATACAGAGTGCAACACAAATTAAAAAGCCAACCCTTAATTAAACCCTGGGTAAAAAGGAAATACCCCAGCCTGGTTCCTAACAAATAATAGCATAGGTGCCAGGTGAGTATTAGGGGGAAGGACATTCCACAAGTGAGGTGTCACCACTGAAAAAGCCCTTTATCTGATTACCATCCATCTCATCTCTGAAAGTCTTGGGAAGAAGATCTTAAATGCTGGGATGGACAGTACGAAACGAGGCAGTCCTTCAGGTGTCCTGGTCCCAACCTGTTCAGATCCTTAAAAAGTAAGATAAAGGAGAGAAGCTGTGCTTTCAATTGTGCCCAGAAACAAATTGGGCAAGGGTATACAGATCTGTCAGCACAGGGGTACTACTGTATCCCACCCCCAACTGTAGATCATCTCCCTTCTCATTTTACCCACCTAGAATTTCTGAGAAGGCTTTATGTTTCCTATGATAAATACACAGTAGGGATGAACTTAACTAAGCCAAAGAACTAGTATGGGGTAGTGGTGAGAGTGAGGGACCTGGGTAGGGTTGCCTCCTGGCAACCGGTGGGGAAGGGGGACTTACTGGGAACAGCAGGGAGGCCCATACAACATATAGCAATGTGTCTACATCACTGCCCACATGACCCAGAAATAACATAATCACGTTTGGGATGTTGGGGCGACACTGCGGTATTTGGAGAAAAACTCTATGGTAAATTTGGCTTCTACATCGCTGCAAGTCACTGCATGTCACTGCATGTCGAATAAATCTCCTCTTTAAGGGGGATAAGTTCCCCCCCGCCAGCCAGCTGATCAGTAGCAGAGAAGTAGGGCCTGTCAGTGGGAGACCCCCCCCCCCCACTTCAACCAGGGGGCTCTGGCAGCTGTAGACCTGGGAGACCTAGGTTTAACTTATCTCTCTGCCATTAAACATATTAAATAACTCTGAGCTTTCTCGGCATCAGTTACCACACATAATTGTTGTCAGGACAACTCAGAGCTCA